TTTATCACAATACTGAGCCAAACAGTGGCAAGTAGTAAGTTAAATTACTACTGAAATGCCTGTGGAAGATAGTCAGTCATTAAACTGCGCGGGCAGGTTGCGGGTTATTTCTTCTAACAAATATCCGGCACGCATGCTGATCGGCATTGGCACGCAAAATTTTTCTGATGTAAGATAACGCAGGATGGTTTTTCGGTTTTGTTCTTCGTTTGGTAGGTTTGCACCCTCGGTTTAGGTTTTTACTGAAGAAGTTGTTAAGATGTGTATGGGCAAGAAAGAGCTGTCAAATATACCGTCGCTCTCTCAGCTTATCCTCCTATCTATTGTCCGGATGCAACTGTTTTTTGTCCACTGATGTGCGATTATTATATTAACGATGGGCCTGAAGGGCTGTGCGACATATTTTTGGGTGGAATGCTCGTTCTTCGAACCATCTTGACAGCAACTAAGTTATGGTTTATCTGCCAAATTTCTTGTGTGTGCAAGTGTATAAGATGATAGCGTCAACTAATAATATTTTTTCTTGATCCATGGTAACGCCTGAGGATATATGCTGCTATTGCAACCACGCATTTTTAATTTCTAGTCGCTGGCATAATTTGTCTATTGCAGCATAGTCAGTCCATTGCTAGGCGTACCATTCAGAAGCACGCTTATTTTGTTAAGTTTTGGCAAACCATAAACCCCAGCAGTTCACCTAAGTGAATTTCGATTCCAGTATACGTATTTCTTTCGAAAGTGTTCACGGGCTCTCAATGTTGTGGGCTTGCATTTCCCTGAAGCCGCGAAGTTTTTCATACTTGGTTCAAGAAATTTATTCTACTTTATCGAAATCTATCAACTGGTAGTTCGGTAGAGCATTGGACTCCCAACCAAGGGTTAGCGGGTTCGAGTTTCAGTTGCTATAACACTTGAGGTTAGGTATAGCTTGCTGCTGGCCATTCCAGGCTCCCATGTATTTGTGGGTAATGCCATTTTGCTTGGTAAGATTGGTTGCCACTTCTCATTTTCAGGCATTGCAGCACTATTATCAATAAAGGATTTTTCAGATTGGTTTTCAAGCACTCGTGAATGTACCTCTGTTCAATGTTTTGCTATGGTTTATTTATAAGAGCCGAGTACGTGCTAACGTTGCATCTAGCCTTAACTAAAAGCCGCATATCTACCCGCCAACTGGACGCTCTGCATACCCCTCTATAGGCGTAATTGAGACCCTCGTCAACGCTTGTCTCCTTCATCGGATCTCAGTTCTTCGACTGCTCCCGTTTCGATTGTGGGACAGTTCGACAAGGACTAGAAAAGTGCCACTTTTCTCCTCTTGCCTCACATTTGACATCGAAAGCGCAGATGTGCCTGTCTTGTATTATAAAACGATTAATGTTAAGACTTCCTCATCAGATCAGCCACCAAATATTCTGGCGGCAGTTTTTGTTCAACTATTCAATCATCGTTTGTGCCCAAATTGTTAGCTTATCTTTCGCGAAAACTGGTACAAATGAGCAAGTTTAAGCAGGCTAGAAGTTAACTATAAAAAGATACAACTATAATATTGGTACCCATCGATCGTGTTACAGAAAATAATCGCCCAATAGTGCCTTGGTACTTGCGGCTGCATAGTGCTAGGACAGTGACTTGATAGTTAGAGCTGTTAATCAACAGAAAGTGGGTTCGAGCTTCACGCGTTGTGAAACCCAAGTTTGGCTATGACTGAATGATAACGACCTACAATCCATACATGAAAACTATAAACTTCTTTGTCTTTATCGGTGCCGTCACTCTGAAAAGTCGATCTTTTTGCCTCTGATTCAAAACGAGCTTAGTTTCGAGAAAACTAAGGAGAAAATTCAGTCAATAGGAAGAAAAGTTCC